CTCTCTCTCTCTCTCTCTCTCTCTCTCTCTCTCTCTCCCTCCCTCCCTCTTTCCTTTCTTTCTTTCTTTTTCTTTTCTTGAGACTCAGGTAGCCCTGGCTACCCTGGAACTGGCTTTGTAGATCAGGCTGGTTTTGAATTTACAGAGATCAGTCTGCCTATGCCTCCCAAGTGCTAACCATAATTTTTTTATGAAGTTTTTTGTATTGTAGTACTTATTTGTTTGTCTGCTTTGTGTGTGTGTGTGTGTGTGTGTGTGTGTGTGTGTGTGTGTGTGTGTGTGTGTGTGTGTGAAGGTCAGAGGACTTTCCTATCATGTGGGTTCCAGGAATGGGACCCTCTGGTCATGATGCTTGACAAGCCAGCACTTTTACCCCCTGAGCCGTCTCATGGACTGCCCAAAGATGGTTTCCTTCTTTGTTCTTAAAAGGTTTGTTTTATATATGTGTGTGTACCTTGGAGGTCAGAAAGGACTGTGTAATTCCTTGGAGTTACAGGTATTTGTAAACTTCTGCTGGACTCAGGTCCTCTAACCCCCACCCCCCCAGCCATCTCTCCAGCCCCCCAAGATCATTTCTTACAGAACATCTTTTCCATTCTGTTGATTCCACTGCGAACTGTCTGTGTGGCTGCTGCTTAGGGGTACCATTGCTCTCTGTACCACAAGCACCATCCCACTCTCGCTGTATCATGGTTAGATGCAGAGAAAGGTCCAAAAATGAAAGGGGTGGGTATCGCAGGACTGAGTGAGTCCTTAGATAGTGAATTGCTTTGTTTTGTGAACTTCTGGCTAGGAGGCTGTTGGTGTGCCTGCATGCAGGTGGGAAACAGATGGACCAGAGCAGAGCCCTGGCCTGCTGGGCTTTCTTTCCATGTCACGTAATCCTGGTGCAGTTCACCACGGCAAAACACTAATGCACATAAAAGAAAAAATAAATGTGAAAGAATCATGTGAAAGCATATTAATCACAAACTCTGATGACTGGATTTCCTGTGCTAGTGATAGCAGTCTTTAGAAAACAGAAAATCTGAGGCTAGAAAGACAGCTCAGCAGTTAAGAGCACTCGTGACTCTCGGAGGACCTGGGTTGATTCCCAGCACCCACAGATAGTTCGCTGCCATCCACAGCTCCAGTTCCAGGGTACCCAGTGCCCTCTTCTGACCTCTCTGGCACCAGGTGTGCACATGGTGCACATACATACATGCAGGCCAATATTCATACACGTAAAATGAAAAAGTAAGTGCAGTAAACTTTTGCATGGCATGTATAATCAACTATAGTTCTGAGTTCTGCATCTGTGAATTCAGCTAACCATGGATGGAAAATATTTAGGAAAAAATTAATTTGTACCAATCATGTACGAACTTCTTTCCTTGGCTAATATTCCCTACATAATATAAATTCATATAATAAAATCATAATGAGATGGAATAAATGATAGAATAAATATATTGAATACATTTTTATCATGTTAGGTATTATGAGTAATATAGTAATGATATAAAATATGTGAGAAGATGTGCATAGGTTATATGCAAATACTGCACCCTTTTGTTTAAGGGATTTCCACGTTGGTCAGGTTTGGTTTCCAGGAGTGGGGCTTCTAGAGGTCCTGACCGTGCTCACAGTAGAGGCCTCTGTTGTCTCGGCACACGAACCTTTCTTAAGGCATCTTAATTCCCCTTAGTTGTTTGTTTTTGTCTAGGTGTGTGTGTGTGTCTGTGTCTGTGTCTGTGTGTGTGTGTCTGTCTTTATGTGATGTTTGATTAGGAGTGTTAGTACTTGCATTCTCATGTAGAAGTTAGAAGACACTTTGGGGGTTGGCTCTCTCCTTCCACCATGGGTTATGGGATCAAACACAGGTCAGGCTTGTTGGCAAGTGCCCACTCATGTGGGTCTTATCTTCCAGGCCTGGGTTTTAGTGTTCCATGTAGCATACTGGAAATTGTTCTGGGATGTCTAATTGTGTGCTCCTTCTAGGGTGTTCCTGAAAAGAAGGTAATTCCAGCCACTGTCCCCAAGTCACCAGTTTTTGCACTGAGGAACAGGATCCGAGTGCCCACCAGAGAAGATGAGGTGATTTCCCTGGGGGAGGGCATCTCCTTTTCCCTCTGCATCCTAACCAGTCTGAGTCCTAACCAGTTTTTACAGTTAATGGGGCCCAAAGGCAATCAGCTCTTGTCTGGAGTTATCTGTAAAAATAATATGAACGATCATCTGTTTTGTTCCTCTGAGAGCAATTGGTAAGGTGTGACTCTGGGCTTTCAGTGATAATGGCTTACAATCCATGAAAACAGCAGGAAAGTTTAAAAGCATTAGAGACTCGTCTGTTCCGATAGCATTGATCATGATGTCTTTGTAACATGGTCAAGAGTTTCCTGAGTTATTGTCACTGTTCAGTGAGGGACTTTTAAAACATATACTAAGCAGTTTCATTGTATTGTCCTTGATACCCAGGGGTCACAAAGGTGACTGAGGGTGGTGATTCATGGGACTGTAAAATGTGAACTGTCATTGATCATGCTAGCTTGTTATTAGATCTCCTATTTTATCTATAAATATCCAGAGTTAGGGTAATTTTATAGCAGACCTCAGCATAAACCTTTTTATAGGTTCAGTTGAAACTAAAATACATGGTACTCTTATGTTACTAGCTTGAACCCAAACAACCAACTTGGTCCTATTCTGGATTTGGCAACCATTAATTCCAGTCACATGTTTTAGTGGAGTCTGGAGTCTGAGTCAGAGTCTAAGGTATAAGTATGCTTACTTAGTACCTTCTGCTCTTCATTTCATTAGTTACTCCAACATTCCTGTGAGGAACTTGAGATTTTTAAAGAGTAATTGTTTTGGTTATTTACCCAATGCTTTTTACATTGCTTTGACCTATGATGTGGTAACTGAATTGGCATTGTCCATCTTTGATAGAAAAGGAGTCTAGGTTTCTGTAGTCACACCTTAGGCTGAGTGACTTGAATTAATTAGTGGCTGATCTCATACGGTGCCTTCTGAGTCCACATTCTGAGGTGGGTGGGCAGGGGAGACATGAGGACCCTTGTTTGTAAACTGTAGTTTCTCTCTTAGGAAGAGGATAAGCCAGTCGTGATACGAGCTCAACCTGTGCCACATTATGGGGTGCCTTACAAGCCCCATATCCCAGAGGCAAGAAACGTGGAGGTGTGCCCTTTCTCCTTTGATACCCGAGACAAAGAGCGCCAGGTACAGAAGGAGAAGAAAATAAAAGAAATGCAGAAGGGGGAGGTAGGTGTTTTCATTTTGTAATCTGCAAAATACTATCTTTGGTCCTTCAGAGGGAACCTTTTCTCCCCTGTCTGTCTGTCTGTCTGTCTGTTTGGAGGCAGTGTCTTGCTGTGTAGAACAGACTGGCTTTGAATCTGTGCTTGTCTTCCTGTTTCTGCTTCTAACTACAGGCATATATCTATCACTACACCTCATTCAGGGAACTTTTTTTTTTTTTTTTCAAAAATTTATTTATTATGTATATAGTATTCTGCCTGCATGTGTCCTTGCAGGCCAGAAGAGAGCACCAGATCTCATTACAGATGGTTGTGAGCTACTATGTGGTTGCTGGGAATTGAGCTCAGGACCTCCAGAAGAGCAGTCAGTGCTCTTAACTGCTGAGCCATCTCTCCAGCCCCAGGGAACTTTTATACAAAATTACTAAATATATAAAAAAGTATAAAAATATACTTTTTAATAAAAAGGTATATGTATACTTCTTATATAAAATTACTATTGAAATCATTGCTTTCCACTGGTGGCCTGCAAGACCCCTGTGAAATATGTGTTGGGCAAGTAAATTAAGTAACCTGTTTGGCACAAGGAGGCTCATGACTGCCAGTTTTGGAAGTGTTAGGAGGAAAATCTAGGTTTCTTTGGGGTCTAAAAAGGTCCACTGCTTTGCAAACTGACTTTCAGGTCCATACACGTATTCCTGTCTTTCAGGTACATATGCATTTCCTGTCTTTCAGGTCCATACACATATTCCTGTCTTTCAGGTCTATATGCATATTCAGGATCAAATATTGCTTTATCTCTGTCTCAGTTTGCTTTCTATCTCTGTGATAAAATACCACAACCAAAAGCAGCTTGAGAAGAAGGTTCTTGTTTGTGTTTTCTCAGTTGAAGTTTCCTCTTCCAGGATAACCCTGGCTTGTGTCAAGCTGACAGAATGCTTACCAGAATACTTGCTAAGAGCCTTTTTTGGCTTTGTTTGGCTTTTGAGATATTGTCTCACTATGTAGTCTAGGCAGGTATATTGATTTCCTGATCCTCTGTCATCAGCTCCTGGAGGTCTGGGCTTCTCGGTGTGCATCGCCTTGTCTGGCAAGAGATCCTTTTAGTGTTTGTCATCTGTCTATTTTATGCAGAGACTTGAAGGTGGGGAGGCACTGAAGTCATCAACAGGATCTGATGTCCTCTGTGGGATCGATTTTCCTATCTTCCTCATTGACCAAAGTTCCTTATGTTACTCTTCTGTTTGCTTTTCCTTTAGGTGCCCAAGTTCAAGGCCCTTCCTGTGCCCCATTTTGACACCATTAACTTGCCAGAGAAAAAGGTGAAGAATGTGACTCAGGCTGAGCCTTTCTCCCTGGAAACAGACAAGAGGGGCGCCTATAAGGCTGAGATGTGGAAACAGCAGGTAGGAAGAGGGGCGTAGCTGGAAGGTTGGTTGGTGGATGAGAAGGTGGTTGGTAGGTGAGTGAGAAGGCCTATAGGTAGGGTGGACTGGTCGACCCACTATCTATATTGAAATCATCTGGGGTGACAGGTTAATCATTTTAATATATTCTGTGTAAACCAGGAGTCACATCAGTTTCTCTGTAAAGGGTCAAATAATATTTATTTCAGGTTTTATAGGTTACATATGACTTCTGTCAGATAATTTATTTCTCTCCCCATTCTCCCCCCCCCCTTGTAAAGACTACTCTTAGTTCATCTTGATTTGCCAGAAAGCTGAATTTTGCTCACCTCTGCTTTAGTAGCCACCTGGTGATGTAAGATTCCTTCTCAGTCAAGAGTTTCTGTAACTCCTTTCTCATCTATTTCCTTAAGTTGGTGCTTTGGTAAAAAACAGGATGGGAGAATTGGTTCTCAATAAGATAGGCTGTTTTTTCAGCATGGTATATAATTGCTCTTTATATCTATATCTCATAGTAGGTGACTAAAGACAAGTGATCGATTATAGTTTGGTGTAACTGGCATCTAATTTTGCCACCATCATTATCCTCTGTCTCTTCTCAAAACCAAAGCTACCCAGGATTTAACTGAGCCTCTGGGTCGAACTACTCACTTGTGGGAAATCAAGGGCTGGGAAGGGCTGTCTTCCTAAAGAGGCAGTCCAGAACCTTCTGGATGTGCGTTCCTGCACAGTGGTCATGAAACATTGTGTTCAGCTGTCTGACAGACTTCTCTCCCACAGCTAGAAGAAGAGCAGAAGCAACAGAAGGAAGCAGCTTGCTTCAAGGCTCGGCCAAACAACGTCATCTTCCAAGAGCCCTTTGTTCCCAAAAAAGAGAAGAAATCGGTTGCAGGTAGTATTTTATGTGCTGTTGGGGGTTGGGACAGAATGTCAGACTTTCCAGGGGGTGCTAGGACTCGCTGTGTCAACAGGAAATGTCTTCCCTGAGAGGACGGGAGCTTCTTCCCTTGGACCAGCCTTCTGCTCTTGTTGAGGCCACAGCTCCCTTAAGTTGTCGACTGTGTTGGGGCAGACACAGCTGGCCTTTCAGTGACAGTCACAGGCTCTCCACCCCCAGCAGGGGACAAGTGGATGAGGGAAAGGTGCTGGGGTTTCTTAGGCATTGGGCAACATGGCGGGGGTTGGGATTCTTCTCCTTCTGTGTTAAGAGTCCCGTGGGGAGAGCGGCATGTAGTGCTGAGCAGCCCCGTCGCCTCACTGGGTCTTGCTTTGTCTCGTTACACTGAATGCCTTCCATAGGCCTGTCCAGCTCTCCTCAGCATCCCAAGTCTGCAAGTGACTTCAGTCCACACTTCTTCGGTAGCTTTTGGGGGCTAGCCATGTCTTTCCACTTGGCCTAGTCCTGCGGGGCTAGGTTTATGGAGTACTGCATGTGCATCAATGTTGTCTCTGTTTGTGTGCTCAGAGAACCTTTCTGGTTCTCTAGTTCAGGAACCCTTTCAACTGGCCACTGAGAAGAGAGCCAAGGAGCGGCAGGAGTTGGGAAAGAGAATGGCTGAGATGGAAGCCTGGAAAATGCAGCAGTTGGAAGAAGTCAGGCAACAAGAAGAGGCACAGGAAAAGGAGGAGCTAGCCCGGCTACGGAAAGAACTGGTAATAAAATTTTTTGTTTTTTTCAGATATGAGTGTTTTGACTACATATATGTCTGAGTACTGCTTGCATGGAGTGTCCATGGAAGCTAGAAAAGGGCATCAGATCTCCTTGTTTCTTTTTAAATATTACATTTATTTTTTTAATTTTTAAAAGATTTATTTATTAATTTATGCATATAAGTGTTTTGCTTGCATGTATGTGTATCCACCATGTGTGTACGTGGTGCCCTCAGAGGTCAGAGGAGGGTGACAGAACCTGGGACTAGAGTTGCAGATGGTTGTGAGCCACCATGTGGGTGGTGGGAATTGAACCTGGGTCCTTTGGAAGAGCAATCAATGCACTTAACCACTGAGCCATTGCTGCAGCCCCTAGCACAAATTTTTGACTTGTGACTGTCTTCTACAGTTGAGGAAGGCTCTGTCACTCTCCCTAGCAATTTACACGGAGGATAAGTTGGACATTCTTAGTGGCCCAGTGAGCAAGAGTAGGAACCTGTTTGGGCACCATAGTTCTCCATTTTACTGTGCCCTCCTTCCTTACATTTGTAATTGGGATCTGCAAACCTTCCCATCCATTTTCCTGTAAGAGACAAAAGCAGACAGGTACACACAGTTCTGCAGTGTCCTTCTCGGCAGTAACCTTGCTTCCCTGCTCCCAGGTGCACAAGGCGAATCCAATCCGCAAGTACTCAGCGGTGGAGGTGAAGTCAAGTGAGCTGCCGCTGACCGTGCCCGTGTCTCCGAAGTTCTCCACCCGCTTCCAGTAGGAGCTCTGCATCACCCCGGGCCTGAGAGCCCTTTTCAGACTCACCACCACGTGTGGCAGTGGACCTGTGTGTGGCAGTGACAACTGAACGCACGCCATTGTTCTTGAAGATCATTGTACGCAGTTTTGAAACTAGTGAGACATCACTCATTTAGGCTTTAATCAGACTTCTCGTAGTTACCTCCTTTCGACATCAGTTGGTCCTTTACTGTTGGTCTTCTAGGACTTCAAGTATTTGTTTTAGTACAGTCTTTTTTCCTCTTAATCCCCTCCACTCCTCTTTTATATGTATATTTTAAGCATAAAATAAAGAGCGTTAAACTCTGGACTGATTTCAGTCAGTGTAAATGGAAGCAGTCAGTCTGTCGGATTTATTCTTCTTTGTTCAGAATGCGTATGTGGTTAAGGAGCCTGTGCCGAGGGGCAGGGACCTCCTTAATGGCACCGAGGCAGGTGACTGCACGGACTCCCCGAAAGCCTTCGGCAAAGCTGCTGCTGAAGCATGTTCTTTACTGTTGGTGCTGACCAAGGAAGAACGCAGGCTACATTTTCAAACATGACTTGGTCACAAGCATTTATTCGGCTCACTGTTTTCCAGGAATGAAGTCCATCCTCCGGGCGGAGATGACCAGGGGATGCGGGTCAGTCTGTGGCAGGGTCTTAGAGCTCTTTTTGACCAGAAAGCACAACTCAGGCTGGAAGTTAAGACAGGTCTGTCACCTCCACAGCCTGTCCCAGGTGGCTTACATTCCCCGGCTGGGCCTCAGGCCACAGGTTCTATAGCCTCCCAAAAGCAGCGGCAGGCTAGGAAGAAGCAGCGGCAGGCTAGGAAGAAGCAGCGGCAGGCTAGGAAGAAGCAGCAGCCTTGGGGCACTTTACATCCAAACCACAGTGCTCCACCTGTGGCCCACAGGCCCTCAGCAAGGTGCAAGTTCACGTATTTCAACTTCAGAAGTTTCCGTGGTCGCTTGTTTTCTTCCTGAGATGTGTTGGTTTTATTTTATATGGATTTTGTTGTTGTTTTTTGTTTTTTGTTTTTTGAGACAGGGTTTCTCTGTGTAGCTTTGCGCCTTTCCTGGAACTCACTTGGTAGTCCAGGCTGGCCTCGAACTCAACAGAGACCCGCCTGGCTCTGCCTCCCGAGTGCTGGGATTAAAGGCGTGCGCCACCACTGCCCGGCTAATTATATGGATGTTTTACGTGTGTGTGTGTGTGTGTGTGTGTGTGTGTGTGTGTGTGTGTGTGTGTAATTCTTGCATACTTGTGCCAGTGGACGTTTGAGGAGTCCAGCTGCCCTGGGACTGGAGTTAACAGATGGTTGTGAGCTACCATATGGGGTCTGGGAGCTAATCCCCTGTCCTCTGCAAGATGCATTCATTTTGTGGCTAGGACAGTTCTTGGCATTGTATATGACACTGAGCCTATTTTTATATTCTTTTGTTGTTCATGCAGTGACCACTTTTTAAAGTTATTTTATACAAGGCTTTGTAAATTTAGCTGGAGGTAACAGAAGCAGACATTGTTTCTTACAGTATGATGTGCGATCTTGGTCCTCCTGAAGGCCCACAAAGCAGTACAAATGTGCTTCCTTTGGCATCTAGAGATCTTTGAGTACGACGTCATAATCCATTACCGGTTCATTTTGCAAGAACATGGTGCTGCATGTGCGCGCGCACACGCGCACGCGCACACACACACACACACACACACACACACACACACACACACACACACACACACACCTTGGCACTGTTTCAGCCCCTGCAAATCCAGAGGGGAACAAAAGCAACAGAAGACGCTTGTTTGTACTTTAATCAGAGAGACGGACAATGGGCACATGCCTGTGCTTTCCGTCTGTGGTAGAATAGCCTGGTGGCAGGGGAGCCTTTGCCATTTCCATGAGGCTGTTGCCAAGTGGCTTCTAGGAAGGGAGCAGCTGTAGCTTGGGCTTGAGTTTGCAGGGGAGATGGTAAGCACGGTTGGATTCCAAGTGGTTTTATTTTAATGTTAAAGGATGCGTGCCCTCAGAGACAAACAGATCCCCTGGAGCTGGAGTTACACACAGTTGAGCCTCCTTGGCCTGGGTCCTTCACCAGAGCAGAGTGTGCTCCTGACCAGATCCATGGCTCCAGCCCTACTTTGTTGCTAACAGATTGGATGTGGAGATAACAAAGCAAGGCCTATTCTCGGGGTGCAGGGAATCCAGTTTTATACCAGCCCTTGGATTTTGCTGTCCGTTCTTGGAGCTCACAGTCTTTTCTGGTTCCTGGTGTTTTCACTTCACATGTCCGGATCCCTTCTCCAGGCCCGTCCTCTAGTTCTCCACTGTGTCAGCCGCTCACCGTCATTGGTGCTGGGGTAGCTGGGCACACAGGCGTGTTCTGATGACCCTGGAAGGGCACTGGGTTGTTTTAGGGGTGACCTGGCTGATCATGGGGACATAACTAACAGGAGACCTTCACCTAGGCAATCTAAGGAAGGCAGAGAGGCTCCTGGCCATGCTGTTTTCTTATCCCTTCAGGCTGTGTCTTAGAGAGTTTCATCTTTCCATACTCAGAGGTAACTTGGAAAGTTTCTAAATAAAGAACATACTCTGAGATAAAACTTTACACATTTGAGCTGGGCTTGGTACATGCCCTGGGATAAAGCTTTAAACGTTTGAGCATGAGCAGAGGCAGGTGGATCTCTGAGTTCAAGGCCAGCCAGGTCTAGTACTGAGTTCCAGGACAGCCAAGGTGAGACCCTGTTTGAAGAAAGCAAATAAATAAAAGAATTTATACATTTGCTCATTTTATACATGTGACTACTTTCCATTGAATTTCAATTTGTATAAAAGATTTATTGTGATTTTAGTTGTGTCTATGAGTGAGGTGCCTGGGTAGGCCAGAGCTGTCAGATCCCCGTGGGAGCTGGAGTTACAGTGGGGACAGTTGACAGAACTCAGGTCTTCTGCAGGAGCAGTCTGTCCAGGTTCTAAACAGCTGAGCCGCGGCCCCAGCCCTACTTCCATCTTTATTTTGATCTTGATGCCTTTTATCTTTTGTTGGTTTCCATTTAAACTTAACTTTTCCAATACAAGTTGAAAAGAATTTATTGGATTTTACTAAGAAATCTGGCTACCATTTTGCTGGACAATTTTGCAAAATTGCCAGCATTTGACATGCGTATTGCTGAACTTCCCACAATTTGGTGCTTTGGACTCCACTGTGGCTTCCCACGGTGTCCTTCTGCGCTAATTCGCATAAGGCCATTGTCACCCTTCCTTCAGCCCATCGGTTGCCCTTGTGCTGTAGCTTGGCTGCCATTTTGGTAGCTGTTTTCTTCCTTCCAGGTTCTTTTGCACCGAGTTTGTGTCCCTGGGAAGTAGAGCTGAGGGGTAGGCAGACTGTAGTTAGTATTGCCCGCTATAGTGTTTCAGAGAGGAGACCTGAATGCAAGCCATTGTCAGCAAGAAGGGCCCAGGCTCGCAGCTCAGCACCGCGGGAGCGCAGCACTTGGCCAAGTGAAGTTGTGATTCTTCAAGGTGGTTTGTCTTGTTTTGAAATAAGTGCTACAGTAGTACTGCTCCTTGCCAACAGAATAATACGGGCCACGTGGAACACACAGCTGTCCTTTCTTCGCCTCTTATTATTCTTTAACCCATCCCTGCTGTGTTTCCTTGGAATATTTTGGGATGTGCTTGTTTATCAAGCATTGCCCACGTAAATTTAGCAGGGAGGTCTAGAAAGTAAACTTATTTATTGTACATAATGGACAAGTGCTCTACCACTGAGCTCTATCTTCAGCCCTCTTTTTAAAAAAAAAAAGATTATAAGCTCTTGGAGGCACATGGCAGAAAAGATTGTTATAGCACACTGCACTCATTTTTTAAAAATTGTTTTTAGAAAGTTTAGATATGACATGCATGTGGTTCAAAGCTGTGGAGGAGGTAGAAAGGCGAAAGTGTCCCACCTGCTCAGGTGTCCTCCTCCCCAGAGATGGTGTCACCAGTTTCCTCTCCCTGCAGCCTCTGTGCACACACGTGCGCGCACACACACACACACACACACACACACACACACACACACACAAATTCCCACCTCTGCCTTTATTTTCATTTACAAATCGCATCCCTCCGCTCCTTGCTCTTTTCAGTGTGCTGTGGCTTTGAACGACGCAGCTCGTGTGCTCCTTTGAGCGTGTCCTGGCTTCCTGAGTATGAAGCCTCATGGGAAGCTAGGGACAAGCGGCAGTCCTGAGGCCCAGGGGCACATCAGCAACACCTGGCCTCGGCTGGGCTTTGTTGCCCTGTAGGCTTGCTCATTATTAACTGGAGGGCCTGCTTGAACCTCCGTCTCCTGGTACAGAAACCGATTTCCTTATGCAGAGCTCCCTACTAGCACAGCTGATTTTGACCTCACTGTGTAGCTCAGGCTGGCCTTGAACGATGATCCTGCCTTAGCCTCCCAAGTGCTAGGATTACGGGTGCGTACCTCGGGGCCGCCTCCAGCATCACCCTTTTCAATTTTGTAGAAGTCTCTGGGGGAACACTGCTGACAGTAGCAGTTCAAAAAGCTGTGAGACACACGGCTAGGCTCCTGTTTCTGCAGAGGCTGAGTGTCAGTCTGGGGGTGTGGATCTTGGTAGGAGCTGGTCAACATTCTGAAGCCTGAGCTGCCGTCTGCCTCACAGCCTGCTGGGATGCTCGTTTTAGACAACATATAAAGTTTCCTGGAGACGGGACCAACCCAGGCCTATGGAAAGAGCAGGAAGGTACTTTGAGCAATGACGAAGGTGTAACCAGGGAGCCGACATGTTTGCTCCAAGGCCAAGAATTCCAGGACAATTTGTTACTCAGCTAAAGCCAATGTGGTTGCTACAGAAAAGACTCAGGCAGAGGCATGGGCCCCTTGTTTCCTCTGCCGCCTTACATGCCCACCGTCACGGTGCTGTGTGTGTGTGTGTGGAGGGTGGGGGTGGGGAGGGCAGTGAGCAGCTGACGTTGCAAACGGGCTCATGGGTTTTGCCCTTTCCTGTCTTGTGGGACAGAAGCTGAGCTCAGGCCAAGCCATGACTTGTGTGTTGTGGTTCTGGGCTCCCTGAAAGCAAACACTGCCGTTCACTTGGAGAAAGCGTGGTTGCAGAGTCAGAGGCTGGAGGAGATTTGGGGTTATCAGGAAAGACTCCTCGGCTGGAGGCATCACTTGCCCTTCTCTCTTTAGGAAAAAAAGAAAGAGACTGAACAAGGGATGCTCACCATTTCCTGATTTGCAGAGCCTGGAGGAGCTAGGACCTGCCATCCCCAGCACTGCGGGCAGGTGTGTGGATATGCCAAGAACCATGGCCA